TTTTCTCATAGAGAGCCCCGAAACAGAAATTCTCTGGGCAGCAGAACATGGTCACCTTGACATTGTGATAAAAATCATCGAAGAACATCCACAGCTTGTAAACACAAAAGATAAAGACGGATATTCACCATTGCATCGTGCATGTTATAGCAATCACATTGATATTGTAGACTATCTCCTCCTGCATGGTGCTGATATCAGTTCAAAGACAGAAATGCAATGGCAGCCATTACACTCATGCTGCCAGTGGAATCACAAAGAGATTGCCAGCAGACTGTTACAAATGGGTGCAGATGTGAATGCTGTATCATCTGGTAGTAAGTTTCATGTTAAACAGTTTGGTTATGTTTGGTCACATCTAACATAACCTCAAATATTATCTATTTTCATGATGTTTAGAACAAACACCGCTGCATATAGCTGCAAGTCATGGTAAGTCTTATGACATGGTGCAGTTGTTGTTGATACAACCCTTCATCAATCCACATCTGAAGAACAACAGCGGTGAAACTGCGTATGATATTGCAAAACGCAGCTCAAAATATTATAAGATTTTTGAAATGGCTGATAGTACCCTTGATAATTGATAAATATATTAAACTAACCTCAATGATGAGTTATTGTTATGAAAAGTTGCGATTTTAGTTCTTATTTAGTGGTAGATTGTTATTTATTTAGCGGTGGTGTAAAAGGCGACGACGCAAACCTGGTATAAGCCTGAATGATGGCTGGGTATAATTTTCGTGCGGCACAATGGCGGCCGGCCGGCGTTATCTGCTCACACGTAGTCATGTAGTGTACATGTACTGTACATTATGACATTATGAGCAAAGGGGTTGGCGGCGAGTGCGTTTATCAAAAACCGAACAAAGCAAAAGTGCGGAGGACGAGTAAAAAAAGGAACTTAGACCCAAAGTCACCCTTCTAACATGGATTTAGTATTAAATTCTATTTTATTATTATACAGGGTTGGATTATGTTATAATCCACTAAAATTTTGAGGTGTTTTTTGTTTAATTTTTTAAATTTTAGAAGAAAATGATGAAAATGTTGAAATATTTTTATATTTTGATGATTTTATCATTTTTTGCAACGTCTTGTGCAAGGGGTACATAATAAAACCTTGTGAGAAGATAACCAAAGGGATTTTCAAAGGTTTTTCCTTTTTTATACACTTATGTATACAGTTGATGGGTGAGTGTGTTGTGTCTTTTCATAAAGATGTGCCATTTGCGACGACCAAAACGCCATTCACCACCAGATTGGGGATGGGTTGGTCTGCGCGGGAAAGTTCACACCGTTCGGATGATACGTGTGCAACTTATCGCTTCTTATCGAAACAAATTCAATCGGAATTTATTCTTTATGTTGTTACAAAGTAGAGCAGCGCAAAGTAGCGCAAAGTATTCTCATAATCGCATGAGATATCCGCCGATCC